AAAATGTAAAAAGTCAATGGTTTATGAATAATGTCAATAAACAATAAAGGCATAAGAAAGGATTAAATTATCTTCGTGCAATGTAAAATACCAGAGTTTTCCTCAAGTGTTTTCATGATTTTTTTTCGTTTTTCTGATGAACACGAGATATGTTGATATCATGGACACAAATTGACTCATGAACTTATCATATCAAAAATCTCATAATAAGGGTAGTCCATATACTCACATTAAAGGGATAAATCATATAAAATGATAGTGCCAACGGAGAAAACAATAACATGCAGCGAAAAAAAAAGGTCCATCCTCTATATTATGTTGATTTTCCCTTTTTACTACATGAACGAGAGTGAATGTGTGTTGACCCAAGCTATTTTCATCTGAAGAAAAGGTTTAAAAAGAGCATTATTATCATAATAAACTTTACATATCTAATCTCTTGATTTTGGTAAGACAGCTGCCCCTGAGAAGATAAGTCCTCTATGGAATGGCATTCTGTTAATTGATGCATCTTTGTGGACCAGGGGTTCCGAAGGCCGCACAACCTGAGGAATCATCACCACAGTTGCTTGTTTATCTCTGTAGGATGCCCAAGTGACCAAATACAGACCAGCAATAATTAGAAAGCCACCTACAACACTGTTTAGACACATGAAATCTTCAAGTCAGCTGCCGCGGATATTTGGGGTTGCAGAAAGAAATAGAAGTTTAATTTTATTTGAAGGAAAAGATAAATTATATGCTAGCAGGGTCAGAAGCCTTCTTACCTTCCCAAATAAATAGGACTGCCAAGGAAAATTCTCGAGAGGAAGGCAGATGCTGCAGGTTGGAGGGGATTATAAAGAGCAACTAAAGAGGGCCCCAAAATCTTGTTGCACCATGTCAGGAGTCCATAATTGAGGGCAGATGCAACGATTCCCTGCAAAAGCCAGACATATGTAATTCGATGCTTGATTGACTAGAACAACTAAGATTTACAGAAGTTCTTCCAACTTTCAAACTTCAATGATTCAATAATTGGAGAATTTTTGGGTGAAAATGGAATTTAGAGCATCCAGTACAAATAGCATCTTTGAGTCCAAATTAAAGGTCCTAAAGAATGAATGTCAGCTTCACTGAGCATCAGTACACTCATTTATAGGCTTGTTTGCTAAACCAGCTACCATCTAAATAGACAAACATTAAGACAATCTTAATATAACACATTTCCAGTCATTCTTACACATAAGTATGAGAACTTCCCATCATTGGTCAAGAAACTATTAACAGTATAAATCCTCATTATGTAGCTAGGCTAGCTTCATAGCTTAAAAGAACATAAAATTAATTTGGATCAACATAATCACTCAAGGTCACATATCAACCCTAGATCTTAATGTGCATCTCTAGTTAAAGATTCAGCATTGGAATCAAATTTATCCCCAACTCTTATACACCTCCATTAATAACTTTGGGCTAAGATCAAATGTAAACACACCTCCATTATAGAATTATCACCACATGACCACATCAAAGTCTTCAAAAGTTGTACCAACTAGCATAAAACATAAAGTCTGACTTCAAAATAACTAACCAAAAAATATTGTTAGAACAATTGAGAATGGTTTGTGTTGCAATAATTTTAATATTCAAGATACAATAAACCTGACTAGAAACTTACAGCGTACAATACTGCAGAAAGCTCAGACTGTGTCAGATGCCAGTCTGTTGATTCATTGGTCACAAAGAATGCTGTTGTTACCATCAATATGACACCAAACAAATATGAATACGCTGTGACAGAAATGTTGGCAGGATACTTTGCCAAAACAGGAGCCTGGAAATTTTACAAAAGTAAGTTTAACATTAGGAATTTCCAGAAAATACCATTATGTAAAGTAAGAAAACAATAGTTCCTACAATGAAGAAGCAGGTAATAACATTCTTGCAAAAGAACCACAACCACTTCCAATTAATGTTGATTTATTTATTTTTGACAATATGCTAACTTGTGCAAACCACAAAGCAAAAAGGTAAGAATTTCATAAATAGTGCACCAAAGTCATTGTGACAGTGGACAAATACTCTTGAGATATGGTTCAAGAAGCCTCAAATCAAGCTACGAAAATTGGGCTGTTCATTGGTTGGAAATAAACCCAAATCGATAACTTAAAACCAAAAATAGAAGCTTTACAACTTATAGCAAAATATAAACTGTTAGAAATGCATTAGACACCATCTTGTTTGAAAACCCATCTTCTTAACCCTAAAGGCTGGGGGGAGGAATTTTCCCTTTTTTCATTTATGTATTAAAACTGCTGAGCTGAATCCAAGTTGTTTTTTATTATTATTTTTTTTTATTTTTTAAATCACAGCAGAAACGGTCAGGTTGGTCATGATCACCTTTAGTCAGAAAGAATATAAGTCAATAAAGCATACAAGGCATCTCATCAGGTTCATATTTAACATTGTTTGATCATTAATATTTGCAAAGGGGGGGAAAATTTTCTGATGATAAATGATATAACCACACATTTAGCAAAATGGAAAAAAAAAAATAGAGCATCTTACCTAAATAAAACAATTTTATTTAGTATTTTTTTTCTTTGCCAAGCATAATTAATCAATCAATAAATCGAAATCAACCATCACATCCTGTACCTGAATCGCTAGGAAAGCAGCCATGCACATACAGTTCCCTATCAAACATAAAACCCCAATGTGCCAATGCTCTAGCCCAAACTCGAGAAAACTAGACACAAGCCATCCAGCAGGCTCTGGTTGACCCCTGACACTTATCTGATTTTGTACAGAAAAGTCCATGTCCACTCCGAGCAAAGCAGGGCCACGGAATAGAACCATTAAAATTGCACCAAAAACACAGATTAAGGTACCTCCAACCTTCGCTTGACCTTCAGTTTTAAGTAAATCTACTCGTTCTGTACTGCACAAATAAGTTGATACTTGACATTGAAAAGGGTGACAATATAATAAAACCTATACAGGCAAGAAGATGAACATGCTAATGCAAAATATACCAATCTTCAAAAAATGATAAAAATAAGAAGGTAGACATTTGTCATTCTCACCCCATCATTACTGCCAGGAGAAATGTGAAGACTGGAATTGAGGGCTGTATTGCAGCAGCATAAGTTGGATTTGTGTAGCCTAAACCAATGAGAAATAAAAGCTGGTTTCCAAATATCCTACCCCAATTCAACAAATCCAGATAAGTTGATCAGCAGCACTTATAATTTTTGAAATAATATGTGGCTGGATCAAATAAGTTGGCTTCAGAAAACTCACCCTGTTAACCCAAGAAAGAAGAAAGACAGAAGGATGCGTCTAGTCATGGGTGGTCGAATCCTTCTACAAACAGGAAAGGAAAAAAAAATTCAATGAGTTGCAATTTTCTTTAAATATTAAGAAAAAATTCAGAACATTTTAGCAAAAAGATTCATATTTACAAATCACAAGTAACATGCATAAGGAACACAGCTGCCATTTGGAGTGGAGTCGAGTTGTAAGGAATACTTTACTACTTCAGGCAGCTAAAAATGTAGCTATGTTATAAGAATGAAAAAGGTAAACAACACTCCACAGACTTTGCAACGGAATATATATCATTTAAAGCTTTGATTCATCTAACTAATCTCTAAGCTCACACATCCACTATCAAAATTCAACTTTTTGCCAACAAATCCTCTTTAATCACTAAAAGGGAGAAATCTCTACAAAGTTGCCATAGCACAAGAATATGCAAAAAAAAAAAAAAAAAAACCTGCATTATCCATGTCATTATTCTTCTAGGTCTAGGTAGAGATAGGGAGGAAGTGCAATTGGGTTTTGTAGGATATTAATCCCAAGATGAAGATGATTCACTTAGTATCTTATTCTTATGCCGTTATTTGTAATAGAAATCAGATATCCATACACACAACAATTGCATAAAATTTGAAAGAGCCCATGTCCTAAAGTAGCATCAAGAATTGAAAGCCCATGAATCAAAGGCAAGAGATAAACACAAAACCTAATTAAAGCAGTAAGATCCCTATTAACAAATATTCATAGTTGCAGACATACTCATCAAAGATCAAAGGCCAAGATAAAGAGAAACAGAATTGGAAGAGGAAATGATATCTTACTTTTCCCGGAAATAGGCCACGGGTGCAAGAATAGCGACAGCAAGAAGATCACGAAATACGCAGAAGACAAGCTGGTTGACACCAACATTAAGAGCAACTTTTGTAATTACATGATACCCACCATTGACAAGCTGCACCAGCGCCATTGCCGCATGAGCTCTGGACGCATCCCTCTCTACTAACCCGCCATTGATACCCATCGCTGCCATCTCTCTCTCCCTCTCCCTCTCTGGTGCTACCGAGAGAGAAGAAACCCAATTGACTTTTCGTGATTTATGAGGTAATAAAAGGAGCAGAATTGGCAACAAAATTAAAGCTGGATGCTTCTGTTGGATTGTTTCTTATACTGGCTTCTTGCAAGGCTTTGATAAATTTCAGAATTCAGAGTCTTGTAATTTTGCATTTCTTTGTAAAAATTGGAAGCAAAACCCCACCGATTGCCCTTCAACTTTTGGAGCTTGAGGCAAAATGCCCTTCACCTTACAAAGTATGAATATTTACCCTTAACCTTAAATAATTTGACTAAATGAGGAAAATATTAATGTCCTCCCATTACCCTCCATTTCCCAATTACACCTCAGTGCCACATGGACACTGATTTTACATATGGGCAGCTCACAAACCATGCAGACCCCATTTTAAAATGGATAGTGTTATTGGGACAACCTTTTTATTTCATTTTTTTGTATAACTTCTACATGTTATTAAATGAGTGGATGCATTCAATATCACGAGTCCCACATGAATTAAAAGAACCAATTATTTTAATAACACGTCAGGTTATATAAAAAAGTGAGATAAAATAGTTGTCCCAATAGCATTTCCCTTTTTAAATTAACATAAAAGGTTATTAATGACATGGCACATGATGATTGGTGATATAAGCAAACCTTAATTTTTTACTATCAATTAAAATTACTATGGTCCACTCATTTTCTTCATTTGTTCTCTACCCATTTTCCCTATTCATCTTCTTCCCATATTTGGTTCTTTTCTTCCTTCCTTTTCCAACACATATCTTCCTCGCCTCCTTTGTCCTCTTCTTCTTTTTCCTCTTACAGCCCAGCCCATCACCTTTGCATCTTCAGTAAGGATTCAAGCGCATCTTTCTCCTCCCTCTCCCTCTCTTCCCCCTCTTTCCTTTCTCTCTCTTCCCGCTTCTTCCTCCCCATGCAAACAGAGGTTTTGGGTTTGATGGAACCTAGATCAAGGTTCCATCGAACCCAAATTGCTAGGTTTGATGGATGGGTTCAAGAAGCCCATATTCCAAGGTTTATCAAACCTAGATTTATAGATTTTTTTTCTTTTAGCAATAGTTGACGATATATAGATGTATTTTTCTGATGGAATTTTTTTTCAAATGTTCTAGTTATGGAATGGAAATTTAATGTTATGAAATGTGCAAAATTTCATTTATATGGATGATTGAAAGATGCTATGAAATTGTGAGTTTGAATGGAAAAAAGGGCAGAAGCATGTTCGGAGAAACAAGAACATGAGCTTGAGTTTGCCGGAGATGGAGATCCTAGGAAGGAAGAGATTGAACGGAAGGGATGATGATGAGAGGATAAATGTGTAATTTAACTTTAATTTATAAGTCAAAGTCAGATAATGGTTTTCACAATTAAATTATTTGGCGATATATTTCTCACTAATAAGCAATTTAGGCTGGATTGCCAACATGGAAAAAAAGGCTTACGTGTCACTTACCTGTACATGTATGACAAAAATTAACGATGCATGTGTTGCACATGACCTCTTAACGTTAAATATTACTTCATTATCATAAACTCAAATATCAAGAAAGTATAAAATCACATATTGTAATGTGAGGGGTAAAGTCCACACACTCAAAAAGTTGAAGGGCAATCTCTGAGGTTTTGCCAAAAATTGGAAAGCTTTCATGTTTGTAATTTTGTTTTTCCTCTCAGCCGGGGGTGAATTCTCTTTAAATAGGAAAAAAAACTATATATATAATATAATTATAAATACTATATAATATTATAAATTTATATGTAATTTTATAATTATTTTTTATTTTAAATTAATTTAATACTATATTTATTTAATTTCACATTATATTTATTTAATTTTATATATTTTATGTCGTATTGCTTTGTAATTGTAAGTATGTATATTGAAAAAAAAAAAAAATCTTCTCCCAAAAACAAAAGCAAAAGTCAATTTTCTATTTCTTTCCTCCGAAATAAGCAAGGGTTCGCGTGGTGCGCGCACGTTTTGGATCGCAAAAACGCATCTATCATCCACCAATGAACGTTAAAGGAACAACACAACAGGAGCTCATAAACTGCCTTGCATATATATATATATAGATTAATATTTAAGAAAAGATTAGAACATCCTCATCTTTATTTAAAAAATAATTAAAATATTTTAATTTTTTTAATACAACTTTATTAAAACAACATAATTTAAAAAAAAAAATTATCTAATTTTTTTGCAATAGAGGATATTACACACTTTTTTAATATATATATATATATATATATTAAGAAAGCGATATTTTATTTTGATTTCGTAAAAATTCTATAGAGCTTCCTCAAATTCCTAAAATGGGTCCTTGTTCGATCTGGGGGATGCCTTGCCAATGATTTGGGGTCTGGGTAAGCATTTTTGGGATCCATAATTGCATTATATATAAGCTCATAGGCTTCAGCTAGTGACCTGGCTACCAGGAGACAAGCTTCAGACCGCAACTTTGGAACCTGCATCTGCTCAAATTCAGGCAGGGAACTCTCACTTCCCAGAGTAAACCCAACGAAAGACTTTAGACAATCGAAAGAGAGGCTGGAGTTGTGTCTTCTATTTGAGCCAATGGGACAGCAGCCCTTGAATTTCGGAAGTGATGCATCTTCACAGAGAAGCCACATCTTCTTAGAATTGTGTCAACTTCTTTTTCCACAAGAGCACGAATGTGACCATTAATCATATCCCCCAGGTTCTTCACATATTCAGCTGCAACCTCATGTCCCAGTAATGGTTGTTGGATGGCACACAAACAGTTGATAAGGAAAATTTTTGAAGGAGTTTCTCTACTCTGCGTAAACCCATGATATTAGGAGGTAACTGTACTACAACCACACAAAGATGGAGACAGGAACAAGCAAATAAACTCATATGCAGGAACCTAGAGAAATAGTCTCTGAAACAGGTCCCCGGACATAGCAGAAGAGGTACTGCTTTTCCTGGGACAAGCCTAGTATAGAATGGGTGAAAATTAATACTGATGGCTACTGGAATCAACAAAATAACAGGGCTGGATCAGGTGGTCTGATCAGAAATGAGGAGGGAAGATGGTTGAGGGGGTTACGTTTTTTTTGGGAGCATGCAGCAAATCCTTTATGGAGTTAGGATGGCCAAAGCAATGTTTATCAAAAAGGTTGAAATGGAATCTGATTCACGAATGGCATTTTCCGTGGTTCTAAAGTTCCAGAGAATGATTCTTGCACAGTGCTTGCAGCAGCCATCAAAGAGTGCCTAGCAGAGTTTGAAGAATGACATGTAAAACATGAAGCTGGGCATGTGCCTTTGAGTTATACTATTGCAGTACTTCATTACTTGTCCTAGTGCTCTGTATCCTATTGTTGATGCTGTTGTACATGGGGTGGCTTACCCTCGACAAATTTCAGTGAAATAAAAGAAGCTCGACATGTGCCCCCTTTGAACCAAAAAATAAAAAACTCGAGAGAAAGCTGGACAGGGATGATGCAGATATGAGGAAACAAGTATGCACGCAAATACAATTATACAAACGAAAAAAAGATGGGGTATAATTGTTATTTGACAAAATTGCATCAACTGCAGATTTATTAAGTTGGCCAGAGTCTGAACTCTGAACTCATTCTAGTTCTTCTTGATGAGTGGCCAACTCCCTAGGACTTGTGTGCCTCTGCTGCTTGCTCACCCATCTGCAAGACAACCAGTGTTAATGAAACATCATAACTTGTTAAATTTCAGAAAAGGAGATGCTATATTAGCACTACATTGAAAATGCTAGAGAAAAGAATTTCTTTCACATGAATATTGTGGGTGTCCTTTTGGGAATATCTCAATTGTTAAGAGCTTGAGCCTACATGTTAGAGGTCTTAGGTTTGAACCTAGGGAAGAGTAGGGAGGGGTTTGGAAAGGGGAGAGCTATCCCCTGTTGTATTGCCCATTATCCATGCACCAAAAACAGTTTTTATTTTTAAACCAGGCACAAGGTTGCCCATGTAACGATGATATTTCATCAGAAAAATTAATAAGAACTTTCATCTCTCTTAAATAGCAATAACCTGCTCACACAAGTTGGCAAAAACCAATTTTTAACCATTTACCTTAATAATTTTGTAGGTTTTAGCCCTTACTTTATATTATGACACTTTTATCCTTCACCTATATGATTTGAAGAAAATAACCCTTACTTAACGTCAAGTTATAACGTTGTATTAGTTCTATTAGTTGATGGTTAGTTTTGTTAACTCACTGTTAATTCTGTTAATTCACTGTTAGTTTTGTTAATTCTGTTAATTCACTGTTAGTTTTGTTAATTGACTGTTAATTCTGTAAACCGATTATTAGTATCCTGTTAACGAAATTAACAAATTAAATTAAATTTAAATTTTATGTTTTTTATAACAAAATACTAACAGTCAGCTAATAAAACTAATAGATAGTTAATAGAATATTAAATAAAGGTTATTTTCTTCGATTTGTATAGGTGAGAGACTAAAAATGTCATAATATAAGGTGAGGAGCTAAAATCTATAAATTTATTAAAATAAAATGCTAAAAGTAGGTATTTGGACACACAAATTAGATCTGCATGAACTGATAAATTACAATAACTGTGCACGATGACCTGAATGGAGCATAAAGCTACCTAACACAACTATTGGACTATCAAGCAAAAAAATACCTGTATAATAGGATCGAGTAAAGCAGATATAACTGGATCCAAAGCAGGCTTTTTCCCTGAAGCAGGAACCATCATGCTGTTGTTGTCTCAATTATCTCAAGAAGCACAGAGACTCCTTCCTTTACAGCTGGTGGTGGTGAAAGATCAACCGCAACAAGAGGAGGATACTGTAAAAGCTTTTCCCCCCTGCTTTTCAGAATTTCAAAAAATGTCTTCTGAGTAGCATCCTTGATAATCCCAAGTGTTTTACAAAGTGCTGTTTCTCCCCCAATTAAATCTGATATCTAGAAGTAAACAAACAGTGTTCCGAAATGGTTAAAAGATAAAAGTACCCTCTAAAACAGGGATATAAAAGAAAGATAGAACACTTCTTACAGTGTAGTTGTAGAATTCCAGGGTGTTACTGAGTTTATAAGAGCTTATAAGACTTGGTTGTGACCGCAAAACTTGCTCAAGCCTCACTTTAAATGGTCGGCAAACTCCTTCAAAAATTCTATCCAGAACAAATGTCAAGTCTGCTTCTATCTTTCCAGAATGATTCTCCAAGTCCTTGAAGAATGGATTTGTTGATCCAGAATGGACTGCTGCATCTGGGGTCAAGCAATGCAAGCACAAGTTCCCATTCTGATGCCAAGGCCTACAGAGAGATCAATAAATAGAGTATGGAAAACAAAATTAAATAGCATATTTGAAAGAAGAAAGCACTATCAGAAGACTAAACACACCTGATGTAACCACCCTAGCATGTCTCCTACATAACGTAAGGGATCATGAACATGCACTTCTATTGGTCTTGGCATCCCACCAGGTCCTCCACATGTGAGAGCAATTATAAACCTTCTAACTAATGCATTATGTCTCATGTTTGCTACCAGTATTTGTTATCAGAGACTTAGTTCAAGCACTAGAAGTAGACATTTGAGATTTGAAATCTCAAACATGGCCCACAAGGAATCACCTCTTCAGCACAATACTTGAAGAGAACAGGTCTTTCTTCCTTAAGGCAACATACGGCTGTTTTTTAGAGCTCACCAACTTCAGGATTATCACTGTCACCCAGTTTCCTACACTCTGCCTGAACCCACCTAAATGAGGTTTACTGCCAGGAAAGGAGCATTGGAAAAAAACAGTAATTCCTATCCCCTTTTGCCTGATAAGAGCTTGATGGTTCTTAAATGTATAATTATGAACATCGACCTCCTCCTCAACTCGGTCCAACGCCTAAGAAGACAGAAACAAGCAAACAACTGAGCAAATGAAACTCATAATCGAAATTCATTCGGATTAGGATATGAGGAATTACCAGCTGAGCGGACTCGGAGGCATGGAGAAAATCGAGGTTGATGTCGAGAGAACTCTTCTGGACGGTGGATCTGAGGTTGTGACGAGCCAGCGGAGTGTTCTCAGTGTAGAAAGTGGAGAGAGAGAGTGTTGAGCGATGCCACCACCTCCGGACTGTCCGTCCGGCACTCTAATGCCTTCTTCAGTTTACGTGAAAGCCCCGGCGCCAATCCCACCGTCGCCATTGCTCCTCCTACTCGCCTCTCCTCTTCTTCGGTTTCGCTCCTTTTCTGCAGTTAGTTTAGATCTTCGAACTTCAAAGGGATGAAAGTCAACTGTTTCTCAGCAGCATTGGGCCAAAAAATATATGCGCCTTTTGGCCCAGATATGTAAGGCTTTTTCTTTGTTTTACGTATCTGGCACTAATTAATGGACCAAATTTCACTAGAAATTCATCTTAAGCTCAGCCCAATGAATATGTTCCTTCCGGCTTCAACCTGATCACTTAGACTACGTAATTATTTATAAGCTATTTTGATTAATTCTTTTAAAATAGTTGACAATTAATAGTTGATATTCAATAAATAATAGTTATTAATATTTATAATTCAAAATATCTAACAGTTTGTTTAAAACCAATAGTTGATAATTGTTTTCAATAAATCAAAATAAATGCCTTTTAAATTGTACTATATTACAAAATATAGATTATAATATTAGAAAGATTTGTGTCTAAACCTAGCAAATGGGCGATCGGATCAAGTTAGAGTCAGGTTAGAGCGAGTGAAGGATTAAAACGAGTTGGGTTGAAATGGATACTGGGTCAATGAAGACTCACCCTAATTTGTCCATCACAGGTCATGGATTAACCTACGATTTGACCTAATTGAATTTTTTTTCTTTTTTTTCTTTGTAATTTGTATCTATTACCAACCAAAGAAAATTATTTAAAAGATTTAAAAATAAAATTCAATATCTTATAAAAAGATTTTTTCCCATTAATTTAATAAAACATATTTACAATTTCTCATAATCACCTTCTCCACTTCCTTTCAAGAAATAGTACTCATCAAATTCGAGAACACCATACACTTATAAATCTTGATAGTAAAAAACAAAAAAGCAATAGTAGCATGACAACCAAAAAAACACAAACTCCATTGGAACATATTTATTCTGGTCATTGCTTTCCAAGAATCAATCAATTGAATGCATTTGAGTAAGTAAAAGAGAAGATCAAGTAGAAATTTTACTTGGATTGGAAAGAAAACTAAAAAGTATAAACAAGTAAACAACTTACCTTGAAGGTTTTAGAAAGAACAGTTGGTGACAAAGAGAGCACTTGTTAGACTTGAAGGAGAAAGAAAGAAAAAGCTGAGTCGACACGATGGTGACTCGGTGAGACTGAGATCTGAGTCTGAGATGATGTTAAAAACTAAAGAGAAAAGGTGGAGGCAGAGCTTAAAAGTCGAAGGTTGTATGGACTATGGAGATTGAAGAATACGAGAAGAGTTTGAACTTTGAAGAGTTACAGTTTTAGAGAGTTTTAAAGCAAGCAAGAATAGGAGAGGTTGAGAGGTGAGTCATGAGTGGAGTGAGATTATTTTTGCTTCTAGAAAATGATGAGCTAAGAGAATAGTTAGCCAATTAGGGAGAATTAGTCAATTATTAGAGGTTTAGGTGAGATTGGGAATTGGAAAACAAAATAAATAAATAATAAATTAAAATTTTTTTAATTTTTAGACGGATCAACAAGTCAAGC